CCCCAAAACCCCAAAACCCCAAAACCCCACTGATCAAAAATTATGAAGAATTTTAAGAAAATTAAATGGTTATTAAATACTAATAGGGTATTGCACTGTAATAGCGAGTAATATAAATTAAGTTTTTTCCTATTAATTAATAATCTATATTCACTTCGCAAATAATAAATATAATGACCTCGAACTATCAGTAATCCGATGCTACTTGCTACAAGCAAAGCTAAAGGAAATCTTCCCCACCCTCCCTGCAGCTTTTGGACACTAATCTAGAACTATAAAGTGACTAGTTATACACATCTGCTCCCCTTACTCCATATCTAAAGTAAAAAACAATTAAAATTAACCCTCACTTATAGGCCTTAAAGTAATAAGCAAAACTAAAGGCAATTAAATGGCTTCAAACCATTAATTCTACCCAAATCCCACAACAGCTTCGATAGCTCATCAGCACCATCAACAGAAATGGATACTTCTACCAACTCATCAGACACTATTAGATCTCCTACCTAATAGGAGGGTGATAATTTTGTTAGTTGGGAGAGTATTTTATCAGCTTTGATACCACAAGATCTGACATCATTTGAGGGTCACAATAATAGACAGCAATCTGAGATTGAAGTCATGTTCACTAATTCGCCTATTAAATCCTTCTTATTTGCTAGAGACATTGCCCAGGAACAAAGTTAAACTAGCGACCTATATAACCATAACAGACAGAGCGGCTGCTCCTTATGAGAAGCTCTCGAAAACTAGATCTTAGATGATGAATTAGAAGAATTTATTCCAATAATTTAACTATATACAGTTTGTTTGAATACGAAATATTTTAATATTAGCTTTAATTTACACAAAGACTTTACTTCACAATTAGAAAGTTTAATTATTCTTGTTAACGGATAGATATTAGTCCTATACCCCAGATAATGGATGGGTTCAAGCATTCTAGGATGAAGGCTAGCATCTCCATTTTATTAATTCATATTCTATTGTAAAAAAATATACTATAATAACATATCACACAATTCTAGCCTTTAAGACCTGATGGGGTTTTGGGGTTTTGGGGTTTTGGGGTTTTGGGG